CCACCGAGCAGAGCGCCTAGACTGTCATTCCCGTGCCCGCAGACATCAGGTATTGCCGTCACGGGTCGTCTCATTTATTAAACCCGTGTTACCTGAGCAAACTGTGGACGTCTATCTCTGGTCACATGCCGTATCTCAAGTGGATTTATACTACATTTTTGACATAACGCCGAATCTCTGTGACGGTTTGCTTATCCGTCTACCCAGCGTCTTGACTACCAGACCCCCAAAGTTGTATTGGCCTATTCGAACGAACATCACACACTGATAGCGTCTTCGCTTGATTGCCGGAAACCCCCGCCCACCATTTTACTCATCGCGGACCCTTTGCTCGATCTTGTTGTATACTTGTTTTGCCCGAGTTTGTTGAAGCAGTAGGCAAAGTTATCGCTAACTCTACCTTGCTCCAATCTTCTGTTCATTAGATTTTCTTCCACAAAGATATCAATCCTGAACAATCAAATTTGTCTACCCTTTCATGTTGCTCCAGTAAAGTTGTGAAAAGTGTTGAATTCTTTTTCATGGCCACCTGAAAATTCTATTTCCTCAATATTGGCCGTAGATTTTGAGTTAGTTCGCAGGAAGGTAGGTATATCCACTTTTGTGAATCCTTCAGCGTCCTTTCTGTTTTTTTATAGTCCCCGTTAGTCCATCGGCTTTTCACGGCCCGTATTTTTTTTCATTTTATCACTTCGCTTGGGTAGCCATTACCGAGGAAGATCCTAGTCAATTTGTCTAGCTCCTCGTCCCAGAAATCTGCATCCATCAGGCATAGGCTTCGGATGATCACGCTCCTCATTATTCCAATCTTTAGCCTGTAATCGTGATGTGACCGAAAATTGAGCATTATCCCAGCAGAGGACTTCTTTCTGAACAATTTATTTTTCAGCATTTCATTAGAACAAATCATTTCAACATTCAGGAACGGAAACCGCTCACCTTCCTCTACTTCCATTGTGAGTTGAATTTTTGCATCAATCTGGTTTACAAATTTCAGAAACTCTCCTAGTTCTTCTCTTCCATATGACCAAAGTGCGAAGTAATTATCCAAATACCACATGACCACTGTCGGTTGTAGCGGTGCCGTCTTGAAGTTCTCTTCTATTTTGTTCATGTATACACTTGGCAAAAGTGGCGAGAGCGGTGATCCCATGGGAAGTCCAAATATTTGTTCAAATATGTTACTGATGAATGTAAAATAGGTTGTCTTTATTGTCAAGTTGATTAGCCTTGTTGACCGACTCCCTACCGATCCGTTGCGATTCCAATATTTCCAGCAGGGCTGTTAGCGCATTTTCTCCAAAGATTCCACATCAAAACTTACCAATAAGTCCGTTTCTTCAAGTGCCATGTTTTGGATTTTTTGAGAAAATTCATATGAATGTTTTGCCGTGTTTGCTAGCCTCTAATTTAATCCCTTGTGTGTTGCTCCATACTTGTTGTTGACTATCAGCCTTAGTGGCTCGCCTTCTTTCTGTATCTTTGGTAATCCGTTGGCTGTTGGTGGTCGTGCATCCTTTCTTATGATTAAATTTATTGTCCTTGCGTCAATTTCCCCATTCCTATGCATCTCTTTCAGCATGTCACTTAAGATTGCATTGATCTTCATAGTTGGGTCCTTGTTTAATTTACAACATGTGGTCCCGTCTCGTAGAATTTGTTCCCTCTTCTCGGTATATTTTTTTTGTCCATTATCACTGTACCTCCTCCTTTGTCCACCTAAAGGACTAATTGTTCATTCGTTTACAGGCTCTTGCGTATCCTGGAAAATCTGTTCCTGTGTGCTGGCTCTTGATGTGTCAAGATCTTTGGAATTCCTTCCATCTCCATTTCCCGTTTCTTCTCCTCACGGAACTTGCCGGAGAGATTAATAACCTCCACCAGGATATCTCATTGAGGGCTTGTGATTTGTAGTTGAAAATTTGAGTGATTTTTCGAGGAACGCGGTTGCTTGGGATTGAGTGGAAATGGTCCTAAGTTTAATACTTTCTTCCGATCGGCTTGCTGATCGGTAGGTGCTGTCACCTCGGAAGCCACTTCAACCGGTCGTACTGGCTTTACCTTAGATTGTCTTAAAATCTCAAACTTTCTTGTCATATAGTTTTGTTATTAAGTCAGAGATCTTACGTGATTTCTTGTCGGTCATATTCTGGTGTTTTTAAAAGTCTTCCGGAGTCAGGATTCTGGTCAGATCACGCAGAAGATTTGACTTAATATCTATAAACTTAACTAGCTTATTGCTCTTCGTATCATAAGTCTCACTTAGTTTCTGAATAGAAGCCTGGTGGAGATACTATTAACCTTATCCGAGTGGTAGGGTCTACTAAGTTCACATAACTTAGGAGTGATACCATAACGATTACAACAGTTAAAAAAAGTTAGATGAGAAGATTGACTTACAATTGTCTTCTTTGTCCTGCTGCATTCAGTGCATTGTCTGGCAATTTTACTGCCGTAGTTTAACCGAAGATATGAAGAACAAGATGGTGTGGACCCAGGTATCTTACTTGTATAGTCGTGTCCCATCTGAACATCTATTTATCTATTTTATTGATTTTTGACTTAATACATAGGATAATCCACCGGTTTTAAATGAATGTTTCTCTGTGTCATTGAGCCAGTCCAAATCTTTCTTAATTGGATCCTCTCAGCGTTAGGAATGGTAAATTGATTCTTGCATGATTACATTTATAACAAAGATTATCTAAAAAGAAGCATTATGAACTTACTCTAGTAAATATAGTTTGTTAGTTACAACCTTATTCGTTAATTGTATCAAGGTTAAAAATTGATTACTAGAGAATTGGTTACTAAAGATCAGTTTCGGTGCATTCTTATCTTGCTATGTCTAATGCTATCTTGACTCCTACCCTCCAGCGAACTAACTCAAAACCTACGGCCAATATTGTGGAAATAAAATATTCGGGTGGCCATGAAAGAGAAATCAACACTTTTCACAACTCTACTGGAGCAACATGAAAGGGTAGACAAATTTGATAGTTCAGGAGTTTACCGTATATGATGCGGCGCCTGCTATCAGAAATATACTGGCGAAACAGGGAGAAAGATTAGCACACGAATCAAGAACATCAGAGGCTTTACAGGAAAATGGATATCGAAAGATCCGAATTGAAGGGCCTCGGGGAAAACAGGAATACAACAAGATCGGCAAAAGGGTTCGCGATGAGTAAAATGGTGGGCGGGGGTTTCCGGCAATCAAGCGAAGACGCTATCAGTGTGTGATGTTCG